ACCACTGAGCTAAATTCCTGGCCTCTGCATTGTTTACATATCCTTCAAACCTGGGTTGTGTTAAATATCCTTTATAACACTTTAAAAGTGGGATTCTTGATGTCATACATGCAGTGAAATCTCCTTGTAGAACTTTTTATTCAAATGTGCAGTGGAGAATTGTAAATGAAATGAGTCTTCAGTGTTCTATCAAAGTCATCACATGCCTTTCTCTGAACTGGGTAGCCAGCCGCATTTGGCATCAAGTATACTGTTTTGATCGATGGTTCCCTGCTTCTTCTGTTGGTAGTGTAGGGAAGTGATTTTTTAAAAATTGTTTTGAGTGTGTTTGCAATTGATTTTAAATTAAGGAAAAAGGGAAATTCAAAGTTTTTTTTAATATTCTTCGGGTTTTGTGAGCATATTCAGTTCTTTTTAGGTTATTCATATTAATTGGAGCTTGGTAGGAATCAAGGTACCTTGTATAACTGTCACTTTAGGGATCTCTGCTTCAAGTTCTTTGTTTCTAGTTATTTTGTTGTTGTTTGATGGTTAATAATTCCTTATATTTATAAGTATTGTGAAATAGTGAAGAAACATGAGTTCTAACAATTATGAAAGCTTGATTGAGTCTTGGCTTTACCACTTCTAGTGTACACATTTGGCAAGTTTTTTAAACCCTTGTTCTACCTGTAAAAGGTAGTAACTGTGGGATTACATTAGGTAGTGTATATAAATAGCACAATGTATAGCACATGTTTGCATTCAAGGGAAAGTAGTTATTCCTGGAAAATAGGTAGGATGCCTGTTTTTCATTCTGTAAAGAAATTCTTGAACAGGTCCGAGGATTTAGCTCAGTGATTCCGCCACCTGCCTCACAAGCCCAAAGACCAGAGTTCCTGTCCCCGCCAAAAAGAAATTCTTAAACAAAAACAAAGTGAGATAAGTTTAGCCATGTATACATTTGGTTAACTTAAGCTAGAAGTTGACAGTTTAGAAATCTTTTCCCTTTTTCTTCCAAGTGTTCATACAGTTTATCAAAATTAATAGTCACTGATATTATTTCTTTGGCTCAGAGAAGACAAAAAAAATGGGTTGTTTCTGTTACCTAGCAGGGAAGACAAAACATGATGTAGTTTATTATATAGTTTTAAATTAATAGCAGCTCAGTATAGAGGCCTTGGGTTCAAGCTCCAGCACAATGGGGAAAAAAGTTCAAACTTTTGAGGAGACACTGTATTCATGTATGAGGGTAGAGTTAAAGGACATTTTCCGTTTTTAGACTTGTAAGATCTCTAAATTTATTTCCCATGTTCCTTTTTCAAGGATACCACTAAAAGATATACTTCACCAGATCAAGGGATTAGTTAATCTAGGAAAGAGAAATCCTGTCTAGAAAAAGGGGGTCTAGTTCGAGGAGGATTAAGGTAACCCCAACATCATAGTAAAAGGTCAAAGATGACACTTATGCAGCAGGCCTGAAAAACAGCCAAGTCTGAAGTCTCCAAGAGAGGTTTCTCTAAGAAGATGAATTCCCAGAATGCTGAATGTGTTTGTGTATATTGATAGGAGATTTAAATACTTGTAGAACTTGGAAATAAAAGTAATGAATATACTGTTTGATTAAAAACAACAACATAAAAAATCCTATGTAGAAAGTAAAAAGTTTTTCTGGTATACTAAAGATTCATTTGTGAGTAGCATTTATGGTTATAATGTGAACTTCAACCAAATCATGATCTAACCAAAATTAAGGTATTATATAGGACCAGATCAATACTAATCTATAACTATTTAAAAAGCTTGAGAGAAGCAGGGGAAAAAGCGTGGCAGTTGGTAAAACAGCTAAATCTCACCTTTCCTAGGAAGAAGTCAATATGTGAAAAACTGAAAAGAAATAACAGTATCAATTTTTTGAAAAGAGATACTGGGCTGGGGATTTAGCTCAATGGTTCTGCTGCCTACCTCGTAAGCATTAGGACCAAAGTTCAATCCCCAGTACAAAAAAAAAAAAAAAAGAGATACAGAGGTAATCAAAACATGAGCTAAAGGAAATGAAAATAGTTGCCCCTCTTCTGAGAGTAGGAAGTGACCATGCTAGGCGCTTAAGGAAAAGCAGGGACTGCCTTTTTTTTTTTTAATTCAATTCATGTGACTTATTCTTCTAACTGTATGTATATGATCTTGGTACAGATAATAACTAAGTAAATACATTTGTCTAAGTCACTTTGTTGTAGCTGAGACAGAATACTCAACAATCACAACTTGAAGGAGGAGAGACTAATCTTGACTTATGGTTACAGTCACTCATTGGCTGGCTGCAAGGCAAAAATGGCATGGTGGAAGGGCCTGGTTAGAGGAAAACTGCTCATCACATGGCAGCCAAGAAGCAGAGGGAGAAAGGATCTGGAGAAGGAGATAATGCCCTTCTAGATCACAACCCCAGTGACCTGCCTCTTCCAGGCCTCGCTTCCTAACATCACATTCAGCTATGGTGACGCCTTGATCCAGTCACCTTCTAGAAGCCCTGCCTCTGCACACATGAGCTTTTGAGGGGGGGCATTCTTTTTTTTTCCACTTAAATTCTTTTATTGGTACATTTTAGAGATACAGTACATTCACATTTATCATTGGGAACTTGTACCTTTACATGATGTATCTTGGTTCTTATTTTTTCAGGGGGGTCATTCTTGATCTAAACCATAACATTATACAATTGGTGATTGTCCCAGAATGCTTTTATCTATAATATGCCAGAAAGAATGAGAAGAGGAATTGTGTATTAAATTATAGCATCTGATATATCTTATAGTTGGCAATACAGTATTACCCATATCTAGGGTCCCCAAGAATACCGAGACTAATGATTTGCTAGAAGGACTCATAGGACTCAGCATATAGTGCTAGGAATGGATAAGATTTATTATAGCAGAAGGATACAAAGCAATATCAGCAAAGGGAAAAGCTGTATGGGATGAAGTCCAGAAGAAACTAAGTACAACATTCTGAGTCCTCTGCCTTTGGAGTCCCTTAGGAATGTTTAATTCCTCAGCAGAGAGTTGTGGCAGAACATATGAAGTGTCTTCTAAGGGAAGCTTGTTAGGGGACTCAGTGCCTGCTTTTCTTCAGGGCTGGCTAAACTAAGCACCTTCTGCCTAGCTGTGCCAGACTCTCAAAGGACAAGGTGTTCAGCATAAATCACATGGTTTATACAAACAGTTTAGGCAAATTAACTCTAATTGCTTAGAGAATATTATATATTAGTGTTGGGAACTGTTAAACAGATTTCAGCCAAGGACCATCTTTGCAAGCCAGTTTTTTGAAGGTAATAATCTTATTCATAAATTAACTCATTTCTGCGTACTGCCCTTTGAAATAATTTAACCTGTGAAGTCAATATAAAATATTTTATTAACCTTTGCTCTTTTTGTTCATTTGTTTTGGGTTTGTTTGTTTGTTTTTTGGCTTTGTCTTTTTATTGAATTTTCTACTTGGTTTTAAGCAAGGTGAAAGTGAGGGGTAAAAGAGTTTCTGAAATACCCTGAATAGCAGCAAAGAGAACATGAGTAACATATGTTTCAGTTGAGCAGTTTTTGAGATTGATGGGAAATAGCAATCAGAAAAATAAGCATCTATTGTCAGTGCCCCCTGCCCCTTTTCAGGTATTTTTCCCTCCTATATCAGAGATAGCGTTTGCTTTGAAATGGGCTAGGTGTTTCATTATATATAAAGTAGATGTTTCTATCTCTTCAGAAATTAAATTACAACCTTATAATTTATATGTCACTGAAAATGTTCTTGCTCCACATATTGAAGATAGCTTTAAGGTGTCAGACAATGGAATTATAGCTGAGGCTATATCAGCATGTTCTATAATGCCTCCTTCTGTGTTTTATTCAATTTCTTCTTGATTCAATTTGTATTTTTAAAACTAGATGTCATGTTGGGCCAGGGATTTAGTTCATTGGCACTGCCACCTGCCTTGCAAGGGCAAGGTCATGAGTTCGATCCCTACTACCCCACCCCCGCAAAAAATACAAAACTAAGTGTCATGTTTGATTTGTAGGCTGGCAAGTTGTAAGACTCAGTATTACAAAATGCTACCATGAGTAATTTTGTCAAAGAAAAATGATAAGGTACGAAAGAAAAAAAATGTGATTTACTTGTGGTTTTATTCTTAGGAAATTTTAGTTTTTCTTTTTTGTGTAAAGAATTACAATTCCCTCAAATGTCCCCCCAAAAGTTTGAGGAGGTATGTTTTCTAAATCCATTTTAAAGTCAATTAAAAAATTTTTTTTTAAATTTTTACAGTACCGGGGGTTGAACTTAGGACCTTGCGCTTGCAAGGCAGGCTGGTGTCACTGAGCTTGATCCCTGGCTCGAAAGTCAGTTGAATTTTAAATTGTCTGCTGGTTGGTTGTTTTTATACGAAAGTTGTAAAATGAAAACAAATATCAAAGGAGACCCTCTCCTGTTTTGTTAATTTCTGTAAATTCCTATATCTGTATTCCTTGAGTTTTGTGTTCCAGAATGAAACAATGAAAATAGGATTCTTTTCTGTATTCTCATTTGGGTAAAATGAGGATGGTTTGCAGATATAATCTTTAGCCCTTCTAAATATTCTTGTTCTGAGCTTAAAGAGTTTGACTTTTCTGCATGGAGATTGGCAATATCATGTGACTACCACCTGATTCTAGTGACCTAATCTCCTTCAACCTCATTTTTATTTTGTTTTCTAGCTCTCTAACGTCAGAAGATAAAGAATAAATGCTGCTGGTCTTGATAGTACGTGCCTGTAATCCCAGCACTCAGAAGACTGTGGCAGGAAGATCTTCACAAGTTCAAGGCCAGCCTGGGCTACATAGTGAGTTCAAGGCCAGCCTGAGCTACACAGTGAGACCCTGTCTCAAAAAACAAAAAAGAATAAATGCTATATGTAGTTGAGAATGCTTTCAAAAAATAGCTCACTTTCAGTAAGATGCTACATTTCATGATGTACAGCTTTTCTGTTTGCTTTACAGTGGAAGATTGATGATAAACCTGTAAAAATTGACAAATGGGATGGATCTGCTGTGAAAAATTCTTTAGATGATTCTGCCAAAAAGGTACTTTCTTGAAGAGTCATCCATGAGCACGTATAGAGATGACGGATTATCTTCCTGGGATCTTTTCTCCTATTACTAGACTTGGAATGACTTTAGTATTCAGGTTAGAAATTGAGCTAGACAGCAATTTCTAAAATTCTCTCAATAAGTAGGAGGAATTGCGTTAAAATATAAATGTAAGCTACCTCAAGAAAGTTGAGATTAATTATGTCAGAACACAAAAGGTTAGAAAAGATAGGATACTCACCTGTGATTAGTCATCTCTTCATTTGAAAAGGAAAAAGAAAATTCTAGCTGTATCTATGAGAAAAGTTGAGAGTTTTAAAAATTTCACATAAGGAACTGATGAAATATTTCTCTGAGCTCTTTTATTAACAGCATGAGTCTTTGCTTAGAGTGATAAAATACTAACTGGAGAGAATTATTTGTCCACTTATGTAATTCTTGATAGAATTTTTATTGTAGAAGTCAAGATACCAGTGGGTATAGGAAAGAAGCATTCCTCTTAGCTTGATTCCTTATTCTTCTTTCTAGGTACTCCTGGAAAAGTACAAATATGTGGAGAATTTTGGCCTAATCGACGGTCGCCTCACCATCTGTACCATCTCCTGTTTCTTTGCTATAGTGGCTTTGATTTGGGATTATATGCACCCTTTTCCAGAGTCTAAGCCAGTTTTGGCTTTGTGTGTCATATTATATCCTTAATGCTTAGGTTTTCTCATACGTCTTTGAAATTTCTACTGATACTTCTCCCCATGAAAACTTTATTTTAAGGCCTTTTGCTCTTAGAATTTAACATAATGAGCTGTGGGCATCTAAATTCACATGGTGCTGTTCCTATTTTATGTTTACTAGGTTTTTTAAAATCTGTAATTCACTTTAGTTATTGTAGAGGTTATGATAATATGAACACTTAATAACAAAGCACATAGTATCATTGAGGCCTGGCCCTTTTCACTTCTAGCCCAGAACTTTTCCCATTTGACCAGCCTGTTTGAAGCCACTCATTCTAGGATATTAGAAGAGCATTAGAGTTTGAAGATTTCATATCTGTGTCAAGCGTCCTTGAAGCTGAGGGGCTAGACTAAAGACACTGAGCATAAGTTGTAAGTTTGGCTTCTGTTATGGTAGAATTAAGAACCTTTTCTGGAGCTTGAAATCCAGGATGTTTGTGACCTGGTGCCAACTCTTTTGAAACTCTCAGAATATAAATATGGGTAATACACATTCAGAATTATCATAAAGATTAAATGAGATATTTTGTAATGCATTTGGTATATAATACAATTTCCAACATAAAATGTTTTAAGATTTTCCAGCTGTATGAAGGTATGAAAGAGGTCTTTACTTTTATTGTAGTGTTTAGTGAATTAATGAGATATTCAGCACATTATTATAAAATAGGCATTGTGTTAGGTGATTTTGCCCAACTGTAGGCTAATGTAAGTATTCTGACACACTCAAGTCTGACTAGGGTAAACTATGATGTTTGCTAGGTTAGGCTTATTAATGAATTTACACTGAGTTTGTAATCCCATTGCAAATCTGGAAGAATTTCCTCTTCTTTTTCTGGTAAATGTGGATGGTTGTCACTTAACCTAGCTTGTTTTTTTCTGAAAGGGTTGAATACATAGAATTCACATTATTACTCTTATTACAAAAATTAACAGTTGTTTTATTACGAGTCCATTTGTGCATACTTTATAGTCTCTCTGTGCATTCTGCTTTGCACTTTACTTTTAATTTAAATGTAATTGGTATCTTCACATAAATTAGTACATGCATCTCTACTAATAGTTACATCTTGCTAGTGTCTGCTGTGTGCCAACACTGTTAAGAGTTGTTTAAAACAAATCATTAAACAATATAGCCATAAGAAATTCTGCCTTTAGAGACAGTTAACAAACCATGTAATAAAGCAGATCTTGGTCAAAAATAGTATTATCCAAATTGATGCCCCATCATAGTCCCTAGAATTGACATCAAGTGATCCTTGACTCCTTTTAGTTGTCATATTAATCTTTGCAATATGAAGTTTTCACTATTAAGGCAATTCAGAAAGATATGCCATAGGTTCTGGAGATGGTTCCCAAGGCAGTTCCAAAGTGATTTGGACAATGACAACAGCATCATCACAAACCTATGGTCTTCTGGGAGAACTACTTTGATATTAGTTTGGTTATCTTTGTTTAAAACAAAGGAAGATCTCATAAGCACATCAGTTTTCTATGTAATAGTAGTGACTGCTATTATAAATGCCTTCTTTGTACTAAACTGTATTTAAGCCTCAGAACATCTCTAAAATGTCAGTAATATTTCCAGTTAGAGGTAAGGATACTTGAGGTAGAAAGTAATTTGTCACAGTTACACTGGTTAAAGGCCAAGATTCGCATGTAGGATTTAACTCACTCTAAAGTCCATATGCTTTGTAGTATACTTTGTCTCTCTTGTTAATAAAATTTAAAATGTACAGTATACATAAAACTCCCAGGTGAGCCAGTTTTTGGCTCCAATGTGAGAGTGCTGTCAAAAGCTGAATGTAATGAATCTATACTAATACGGGAAGTAACTGAACATGTAGTAAACTATTTTGAAGTCAGCTTTCTTGTAATAACTCTTGAAATTGGTTGCATGTGGTCAAGTCCACTGTGATGATTGTGTTTTTTAGTAGAGAAATTATCACAACTTATAACAAAACTTTGACAAACTAGTGACAGGATCTTACATCTGTTGTCCTCCAACATAAAAGATGAGAGCTAGTTTGCCCCTTGTTCCTTTTCTCCTCCTTTTAGAGGTATTTGAATAATTAACCAGAGACAGTTTTTCTTCTCTTGGTGCATACACATAAAGATGAAAATGAAATAGCTAAATTTTCAGTGTTTTTGTAGTAGCAGAAAACGTACTGTTTTCTTCAGGGCTGTCATGAAATTTTTCATGGCTCTTACTTGTCACATTTTTACTTCTCTTTTGTTTGCATGTTTGTGTTTTCACCTTAACTTTCTTTGAACCTATTTTGTGATGATGGGGATTCTAACCATTTATACCTCATATAAGGAGAAGAGCATCTTTCTTGTGGCTCACAGGAAAGATCCTACAGGGATGGATCCCGATGATATTTGGCAACTGTCTTCCAGTCTCAAAAGGTAACAGTTGTTCTTCCAGATTCTTAAATCCTGGAGTTGGATTTGCTTGGGAGGTGGTCATTATTAACAACAAACTATCGTGTGCATATTCTGTGCAGATTATAGTGTTAGTCATGTAAAATGAAGGAAAAGGTGTGAATTACTTAGGAGGTTTATTCTAGCACTGTAATTATAAGATTGCATTATCACAGCAATGCTCTGAGGAAGAACCTTGGGAGAAAATAGCACTTTGGTGGAAGAACAAAGAATGACTTTCTTCCTTGTGTCCAGTTAACAAAGGACAAAAGTGTAAGGTCAGTTATCTTTGAAGAACTCCTATTTAGCTTCAGTGTCTTCTTTGATCCTGACTCCATTATCAATGTAGTCAAGAAAAAACATAATCCAAAAAGCAAAAACAAAAAATAATAATCCAGAATCAATTTCTGACTGGTAGTAGGTATAACTTCATGCGTCTTATCCGAAATTGTAGCTACCTAAGACTCAGTTATATATTCCTGTCCAGTCTGTTCCTAGTTATATGACATTTGGTATATCATGTAAAGTATCTGAACTTTAAGGGGCTGGGATATGATATAGCGCAGCACTTGCCTAGGATGCCAGGGGCCCTGGGTTCAACCCCCAGTGCTGCCAAGTAATAATAACAAAGATTCAGAGTTATTGGGAACATGAGATAGCAGTTACAATACAACAAACATCTGCTGAACATTTGCTGTATTGGGTATTGTGTATATTGCTGTATATTGGGTATTGTGCTGAATACATGATCTCTAAAACTAAAAATACCAATTTTATAGATACAAACACAGGCCCAAAATGTTGAATTAATTTTTGTAACACCAAACAGCTCAACAATGGTAGAGTAGGAAGTCCAAATTTGAGCCTAGAATTTAGTCACTAACTAAAAACACATGGAATACTTCCTAGCATGTAGTAGGTCCTCAGTAATTATCATCTGTATAAAGCTAACTAATACAGCATCATCATCTTTGCACTTCACTCTGTTCACATTGCTCACTTTCTGTTTTTCACGTATTTGGGGCATATTTCTGCATCAGGGCTTTTGGATTTTTTCCTCTCCCTGGAAGACACTTTGCCCAGATAACTTACTCTCTTTTTTAAGGGTTCTGTTCAAGCATTTACTTAGTGAAATCTTTCCTGTTTACCATATGTAAAAGAACATCTTTTTCTGTTATTGTTTGTTTTCCTGTCTCTTATGGACACTAAAATGAAAGTTACTAAAGCCAGACATTTTTTTTGGCCGTTCCTTGCTTTTTTTTGAGACAGGGTCTCCCTATATAGTTAAGGCTAGTCTTGAACTCACTGTACAGCTCAGGCTGGCCTCAAACTTGCAGTGATCCTCCTACCTCAGCCTCCCAAGTGCTGGAATTACAGGCATGAGCCACCATGCTCGCTTGGCCACTGCTATATATCTAAAACTGCCTGACACGTAAAGGGTGAGGCTCAGTAAATATTTGAATTAACTAATAATTTTCTAAAATCCATCAGATTGCAATTCCTGAAATGTTCTGCCATCGAAGCAATGTGTAACTGCCAATAAAACTGGCCTCAGAAATCCAAGTTATTGTGATGAGAATTAGCAGTAAGTGGTCAGAGGTTGAGTAATTTCTTGAGGTGTCAAAAGTAGTTCAGGGGCCTTCACTACTAGTTGTCTAAGTTGGAGGTTATTCCCTAGACCAGCAATTTATTAAAGGGCTGTGATTTTTGAACACTAATTAATGCTCAGAAACCATTCTAACCATGATAGTAATCTTAAAAGTAAGTAGGAGCTTCCCTATTTAATGCTGAAATACAAGCTCAAGGAAATGCTTTATCTAAAGAGAATTTTTGCACAGTAATTCACAAAATGTGCCTTCATAAATGGTGATAGAAACAGGTGATGAGAGTATGTCAGCCTACCAGAAGTTGGTATCATTAAATGTTCTTGAATGGGTGGAAAGAGTAAGGCCTAGGGCCAGGGATTTAGCTCAGTGGTGCTGCCACCTGCCTCAAGTGCAAGGACCCGAGTTCGATCTTCAATACCAAAAAAAAAAAAAAAGAAAATGCCTTTAGGGAACCTTAGGATGTCATTAAGGAATCTCTAGAGTTCATGTAAGAAAGCTGTGGATATTGAATTGGGGTCAGAGTGGAACCTCGGACTTGTTGTTTACAGATTATAAGGGCTAAAGAGTTCTGGAATTGGGGAGCCTTCTTGAAAGCAGTGGTTCTTCACTCATAAAATTGTGATTTCCTGTTATGTGCCAAGCTAAGATTAGAAAACAAGACAAAAATCCTTACTCTCTAGAGTTCATGTAAGAAAGCTGTGGATATTGAATTGGGGTCAGAGTGGAACCTCGGACTTGTTGTTTACAGATTATAAGGGCTAAAGCATTCTGGAATTGGGGAGCCTTCTTGAAAGCAGTGGTTCTTCACTCATAAAATTGTGATTTCCTGTTATGTGCCAAGCTAAGATTAGAAAACAAGACAAAAATCCTTACTCTCAGTAACCTCCTAGTCTGGTGAAGGACACATACACAAATATTTCAGTAATATTGCATTGATATCATGGGAGGATATCAATAAACCTGGTATGTAATAGGTATGCAGTATTTGATTTGAATATTGATTGATGGTTCTTTGAAAGACAAAGGAGACACATGTAACCCAGAATGGGAGGCATTCCCAGAAAAAAATTATGCCCAAATATATTCTTAACAGACATGAACTAGCCAGGTGAGATAGGAAAAAAGAGCCTGTTAGATTCTTCTAGCATGACCAGTGCCAGATCCAGAGGTGAGAGAAGATGGTTTATATGGCTTGCCAGTCTAAGACATGGTAAGAGATATGCTTTTAATTAAAGCAGGAAAGATGTGTCCACACTTAAGAATCAGAATTGTATCTCAAAGATGGTTAGAACCCTGGGTGATTGTTTCAAAAAAAAAGTGTGTGTTCCTTATATCCCCAGTGCCCAGTGTATCCCAGGCCTTTGGAAATACTTGGTGCTGTATTGTTATTGGTTGAATCTCTGTTTGGTTTTTTATTTGTTATCTTTACTCTGGTGCTTAGGTTTGATGACAAATACACCCTGAAGCTGACCTTCATCAGTGGGAGAACAAAGCAGCAGCGGGAAGCCGAGTTTACCAAGTCCATTGCAAAGTTTTTTGACCATAGTGGGACACTGGTCATGGATGCATATGAACCTGAAATATCCAGGCTCCATGATAGTCTGGCTGCAGAAAGAAAAACAAAATAGCTAATTCTAAGAGCAGTCCTCTTTGTGTTGGATCATGCTGAATTACTGGGTGGGTAGGGTGAAGAAACAGAACTTAAAATGAGTAAAATAAGAATTGTTAAAAACATCCCTGTTTTGTCTTGAAATTTTAGTCCATTCTGGATAGGTAGGATTTTCTAGTGCAGATATGAGACGTAGTTCTGGTGTCTAGCTGTAGCTTCCTTAGTCTGCTGTGTTGTTTTGATTTGCTTTTCTGGAAAGGCATTTTTTCTGGAAGCTATCTAGAATTTTCCTGTCATACCTAGCACTATTTTACATAGTATAGCTTTGTGCCATGCAACATTTAAAGACTCAGTTTTCTAAAATTATTAACCTGTTAACTTTATGTTAATTCCTGTTTCAGCAACTGTTTCCCTAAAGAATTCAGGATACAACTTGTGTATGACAGCTTTCTGTTACCACACCATTTTTGTGGGTGTGTATATGTCTGACTTGGGGAAAATTTTTTTAAAAAGCTTTTCAATTTGTTTAAAACAAATTTGCCTGTCACATTTTGTGCACTTAACCAATTAAAGAAACCAGTGACATTTTTAATTTTGTTTTGTCTGTGTTTTCCACTGGTATATCCCTGTTGATTTGTTCATGCCTTTTATTAACTACCATTTTCTAAAATGTTTTTTCAATAAAAGGAAAGATGTGAAAAAAGTCATAGTCTTGATGGAAGGAACAGAGCAGCAAGTATTACAGATTTTACTATTACCATAGGTGTTTTTTAGTCTCTAGGCTGCTTCACTATTCAAAGGCCCCTGAGAACCTTAGCTAAGGACCTAATCATAACACTCAGTACTTCGTTCCTACCCCATAATTTACATGTATTAACTCATTAATGCTCACAGCAACTCTAAAAGGTAGGTGCTATGATTATCCCCACTTCACAGATGAGGAAGAAGAGACATGTAAGTTGAATAACCTGTTACATAGCTAATGCTAGTATGGGGATTTAAACCTGGGTAGTCTAATCCCAGAGTCTTATGTTCCCGCAAACAACACAGCAGCATCTTTTCTAGTATTTCCTAGCATGACAGGTGTCAGATACAGAGGTGAGAGAAGATGGTTTACATGGCTTTTCTGGTAGGAGAAGAACAAGGCACTTGCCCAGATCCTGTGACATTTAGAAATGTTGTCCCTCCAGCCCTGCAAAAGTACATTTCCAGCTGAGCATAATATCCAAAACTGTTCAGCTTGTTTAAAATAATTACCCTTATATCATTTTCCTGTTGGAGTTGCAAGTGCCCTGTCTAGCATGACTCAGTGGAAGATTGTTGAGCAACACTGGATTGGAAATTGAAGCCTTGGATTCTGTACTGTACCTTCACTCCTGTAATCCTTGGATAAGTCATGGAATTCTCTGAGCTTCTAGTTTCCTTTTTAAATTTTTTTAAGGTGATAATTCCAACCCTGTGAACCACTTAAAACTTTTGAAAGTATGTAATCAGATAATTATACTTTTACAATAGAGGAGTTACTGTTAGACACGAGTTTCAAGGCTTGTGGATATAGACAGTGAATAACCCTCTCCATTATGACTGCTTGGAGTTCTTTGATAACTGCTGTATCTTTCTCTTTACATATACAAACTTTTTTAAATAAAAATTCCAATTTTGTTGCTATATGTCCTGTGGGTTTTTTGTTTTTGTTTTTTTTTTAATTTTATTAAGATGGGTGTTCAAGGTCCAGGGATTTAGCTCAGTGGCACCGTGCTTGCCTTGCGAGTGCAAGGTCCTGAGTTTGATCCCCAGTACAGCAAAAAAAAAAAAAAAAGTTGGGGGTTCACCTATGTTGTCAGGCTGATCTCAAACTCATGCACTGAAGTGAGCCTCCCTCCTCAGCCCCTACCCCAGTAGTTGGGACTATCAGTTACCCTACTGTTCCAGCTTTGTAATTTGTTTTTAAAACAATTTTAAGGTGCTTTTTGTGTCTATATAAAGTCATTTTAGTAGCTGCATAATATTCCACAGTATCAATGTTCATATTTCAGCTTTTCTCTTATTGATAACTGATGGATGTTTTCCCCCAAAATTTGCACCATCCCAAGAGAAAGTGTGACGGGGGAAAGGTGGGAAAATAAGTTCTCAAGTGATATGACAAAAAACCTGGATTGATTCTTAGCTTCTAATTTATGAGCTTGGGCAAATCCCTTTTCTTTCTAGGGCAAAATCTCTATTAAAGCGGTTTTAGAGAATATCCTTTGAGATTATGAAGACTCCTTATGTCCCAGAAGTGCCCACATATATGAATATCTCTTATTATAAAAAGCAATGAATGCCACAATCCCTAAAATCTGCACATGATCCCACTTGGAGACTTTGGACTTTGTGGATCTGTGACTCTGAAAACCAGTTTAAACATTGAGTGAGTTATCAGCCCACCCATTTGTTGCAGTTGGTCGCACTGTTGACATCTGAGGACAGTTTCTTATCACATGATTGCCTGCGGGCTCAAGCCTTATGACTGACACACCTTGAGACTGCAGAGTTCCTGTGTCTGCCTCCACACATCTACAGAGTGGTCACTTTTGCATGCTGCTGGACTGCTGCTTACCTCCATAGTAGGTCTGCAGTACCCTTCCCACCAGGAAATCCTGGCATCCATCAGATTAGCCTCTTCTCAACTCCACACCTGGCTCTGATCTGATGAATGACCACAAGGAGAAAGGGAAAGATAACACTAATGTTTTCCATTATTTGCAAATCTCAGCTGCTAATATGTATTTAATGTTTACAGTGCTTTCATATATATTTCAGGAAACAGTATTTTTTGTTTCAGAACTACCTTAGGGAATGGAAAAGATATAAAATCTCACTTTACATAAAAGAAAGTTGTATGTTTTTCCTCAGTTGAGAGTTCTTTGACCAACATTCTTCACTCCTGTTGAGCCCCACCTAGCACCCACCTCAAGCCTTGGCTCCATGAGGGAAATAATGAGACAAAGCTGCTTATTTTCACAGCAATAATAATTTTTTTAAAGAATGTCCTGTCCCCATTGACAGCCTATTCTGTTATTAAATAGACTATTCTTATGTCAGTTGATCAGGTGATTCCTGAGGTCCACAGCCCCTAATGAGTTAACAGGCATTTATAATCTTTTTTTGTGTGTGCCATGAGTGGGTTTTTTTTCTTGATATTTTGGTGTTGTCTATGACCCACTTCTCAACATAATGTTTTGAATGCTTGAATATAATAGTACCTGTTATTGAACTGGGGAGATGGTTGCAATCTCTGAGGGATGAGAAATAAGTTCAAAGATAGTTGTTCAGTGAGTTCCCTGGTTGTTACTTGCTCTCCCTTGGTTGGAAATACTGTTTCTCAATGAGTAGCAGTTACCCTCTTAAAACAGTTCCAGAGTCCACTTACGTGAGTCTGAAAGGAGGGAAATTCCTTTTCTGTGGCCAGAAACCAGACAAGATGTTCCAAGTGGTCAATTTGCTTAATAAATGGATATAGGGAATGTAATGCAATTGTGTCTTTTACCTGGCCCCCTTCTGCAGTCTCATGCCAGCCTTACACAGACACAACAGGAAAAATCTCAATGTTTGGCAGTAGGTATTGGGTGCTATAGAAGGACTTTAGTCCTTACAGGAGATGTCTCTTCGATAAACTTTTCTGGGAAACCAGAAGGGATTGAGTATTAAGACTTTGGTGGCCTAGATTTGTCACAGGTGACCCACAGGAGGAACTGGGAGAGGCAATTCGTTTTTCTTTTTGTTTTTGTGTGCAATTAGTTCTGAATATCTGCATAGTCCTGCTTTATATGAAAGCAAGACCCTGACTTCTCTTCTGGGCCATTGCTCGGTTTCTGTCGGAAGTAAGCTACCCTGAGATTAGCATGTTTTCATATTTCTCACTATGAAAGGCTTGAGTTCCACATGTTCAGAGTCTGCATAAAGAAGTATCCATCTAAGTCTACAGCATGTTTGGGAGTAGTAGTCTTGTAGAAATGGTACAAAATGACATGCTTGTGCTGAAACTAATAAAGTTCGTGTCTGATCCTAGAGTCTCATGCCTTCTGCCAACATCCATGAGAAAATAGGCTAACTTTTTTTTTTCCCCCTGGTAACAGGAATCGAACTCAGGACTTTGTGCTTGCGAGGCAGGTGCAGTGCCACTGAGCTAAATCCCAGGCCCTAACTTGTTAAGTTTTTGAGTAGGATAAAATTCTAGCCCCTTCATGGATCGAAACCTTTAGTAACAAGGATGGGATCCTAACGGTTTTCAAGAAAAGACGTGGTTCTTCATAGGCCAGTTTAGGGGATATGAGAAAATTCCCTGGAGTCTGGTAGCAATAGAAGTCTCTCATACCACCTCCTCTCCTTTGCTTGACACCATTTGCACAAAAAACCCTAAAGCCTCTATTTTCTTACCTGTTGTTTTAGAGCAGCAAAAAGTAGGACTGAAGCATGCTGTTTAAATGGTACTTCGTTTATTGCTCATCTAGGCAGGAGGTGGAAAGAATGTTCTGGCAATGATGCAGCAAGCCTATGGCCCCAGCTGAGAGGGGCTGTCGCTGTGACTGATGGGTACAGAGTTCTCCAAATGTGAAATAAATGATAGCTTTTTTAAGGTACCAGAAACTTTAGTATTCATTGAGCCAGTAAATACATGGCCTTGCCAACTGACAAAACAATTCTCTCCTGAATCCCTAATCTCTTTCTTTTGCTTTAGAGGAGTGAATTGTATATTTGCAGGAAGGGAGGAACTTCCCTTTTATAGCTCTGTTGAAAATAGGTGTCCCAGTACCATCCTACTCAGTCCCTTTGGAGTGGGAAACCTATGCTTCAGGATCAAAAATGCCAGTAATGGTGGGGCAGATGCACAGTGCCCTGCAGGGGATCAAAACAAAAAAACAGGCCTACATACTTTGCTTCAGCTACAGAAGGGAAGAGGTAGCACTAACCCTTGGTGAAAGATTCAAAAGGAGAAAAAAAGCCTTCCATTAATCTGTCCCCTACAGGTTGGCCCCTTCCTATCTCTTGATGTCGCAGATGCACACGAAATAATACCAGCAAATGAGATCACATCAAATTAAAAAGATTGTGCACAGCAAAGGAAATCACCTACAGAATGGGGAAAATTTTTGACAGCTACTCGCTAGAACATATAAAGAACTCAAAGACTTAGACCCCCCAGCTTTAAAGGCCCAGTCAAATAATGGGCATCTGAAGTTAATAGACATTTCTCCAATAAGTACAAATGACCAATAAATACATGAAAAATTGTTCGACGTTGCTGGCCATTTGAAAAATGGCAACTTAAAAACAACACAGATTCTATGTCACTCCAGAAAGAACAGCTAGTTTCACATAATCAAATATTAACAAATGTTGGGGAGGTTGTGGGGAAGAGGAACCCTTCATTGGTGGAAATTGGCACAACCACTATGAAAATAAGCATGTAGATTTCTTGGATAACTAAAAACAGAAACTTCATTTGGCTTAGCTATTCCTCTTCTAGATCTCTTTCTGAAAGAGTTAAAGTCGTGATGATACATGCCTACCCATGTTTATAAGAGCACAGTTCCTAATAGCTAATCTTGAAAGCAGCCTATATGCCCATGAGCAGATGAATAGAGACAATGTATTTATACAGAATGGAGTACGATTTATGTAAAGAAGGATAATGAGTCATTTGTAGAAAAATGGATACACTCTAAGACCATAATGTTAAGTGAAGTAAATCAGACCCACAAGCTTAAATGTTGCACACTTTCTCTTTTATTAGAAACTCAATATATAAATAAGGTGGAAAGTAAAAGACAGAAAATAGGGGGAAAAGTTATTGTAATCCAGCTTGGCGAACCTCTGAAAATGAATCTTGTTTTAGTAAAACTGTTTCATGTGTTTCCTATGTTTTTCAGTCTGTTCGCCTGGCTATTAATCTGATTATAATTAACATGATAAATACTTTAAATCTGATGTTGGCAAAAAATATGTAATGTACATGTATAAATTCACCACAATGAAAGTATTGCAAATGTACTAGTAAAATTATTTTTAAAACTTGAGAAATATAAAG